AAAAAACACCTTTAAATCCAAAGTTAAATCATTAAACTGTGTCTCACTGAGGCAGATCAAATGACATGGAAATCTRCAGCAGCTTTGATATTTAACACTAATGAGAGCTCGTCGGCTTTCAGTCTCCACCAAACTTTATCACTTTCATCTGAAGCATCACGACAGAGTGACTCAGTTTCTTTCTTTACAGATTCAATCGACGGAAGGAAACTATTTACTAAACCTGAGGCCTCGTTGTGCAGAAACATCCACAAACGTGCTGAAGTTTTAGGTCATAAAACAGCTAAATCAGGTTTTTCAGTTTCAGACGCCTGGCTCAGATCTGTTTCCAGGACAGAAAATGTGTTTTTGTCGTCGTTCCTGAAACACAAACAGGACTCCACAGTGACCACGCAGGCCTGCTGATGCCTCTCTTTTCTGAAGAGTGATGCAGCACTTCGTTACCAACGACACGCGGAGATGCTGATTTACACAGCCGCCTCCGCCGCCGCGGAGCTGCCACGGGGAAACGCTGACGCGGCGGGTCTTCTGCTCCCCATCACTCCTGATTTCACACGCTGCCTGGAATCGCTCGCCGCTGCGTCGTCATGGAAACCGGGATTTGGATGCTGCAGATTTCAGATTTCAGACTCTGACCTGAGATTCCCTCACAGCCAGAGAAGAAGGCGGTGAAGGTCTGAATCCAGGACTTAGACAGCACCCAAACCTGTGGAGCACGGCCCTCTCCGGACTAAAAGTTAAAATCCTGAGGTGAGGATACTCAGAGTTGATTAAACTCAGTTTAATGTCGTTAAACTTGTTGAAGCTTCTTTCTCTTTAACTGTTGGTGTTGATGAGGTCTGTTAGTAAAATATCTAACGAACCAGTGGACGAGTTTGAAAAGTGATGGTTTCCCTTAGCAAAAAGTAGTACACTTGAAGTTCATTTCAATAAGTATACGTGAGTATAAGTTTAAGTATATCAAGTATACTAGGCACCATGTACTTGTAGTGTACTTGAAAGTATACTGATTTAATACTTGTTCGTACTAAATTTGGACTTTTTTTGTTTATAAGAAATATACTTCAAGTACATGTCATTAAGAACGATAAAGTATATTGATTGATTGATAATACTTTGATTCCAAAAAGAAATTGCAGATAAAACATACATATATATATATATACATACATATACATATATACATACATATGCAGTATATATATATATATATATACACTCACCGGCCACTTTATTAGGTACACCACGCTAGTAACGGGTTGTACCCCCTTTTGCCTTCAGAACTGCCTCAATTCTTCGTGGCATAGATTCAACAAGGTGCTGGAAGCATTCCTCAGAGATTTTGGTCCATATTGACA